ATGGACCCAGCGCGGATTGGTAGGTGAAAGCGGACCAAGCGCGGATTGGTGGGTGTAAGCGGACTCAGTGCGGATTGGTGGGTGGTAATGGACCCAGCGCGGATTGGTGGTTGAAAGCGGACCCAGCGCGGATTGGTGGGTGAAAGCGGACCCAGTGCGGATTGGTGGGGATTGGTGGGTAATAACGGACCCAGCGCGGATTGGTCGGCGATAACGTACCCAGCGCGAATTGATGGGTAATAATGGACCCAGTGCGGATTGGAGGGTGATAATGGACCCAGTGCAGATTGATGGATTTTATATCAACAAATCTTCAGGTTAAATTTATGATTTTCAGATCATTGGAGTTAAAGAAGTTTCATTTCAGTCGTGGGGTCATTACTCGCACAAGCACACTCGCTTTTTTTTATTCATGATTTCAAAAGTTTAACTTGCATCGTGGTTTTTATGTACATATATTATTAAATTTTGACATAAAATTTTATATTCGTAGCTACTAAACCCCTCGTATCCAGCAAGAAACAAGTCCTTTACTAGTTGTAAACAAAACTTGTAGAATACTTGTTGTAGCTGTTTAAAACATTATTTATTTACACTGCATAGACAAACAACTAACACCTTATAAGTATAAATCACTTATTGACTTCACGTCATATTTTGTTTATCCAACAAGTTTGACGCAAGTATTGTACACTACATGTTTTATAACATGTATATATACAGGGCGTCCCACGGCTACCTCACACGGAGGGAAAGTATATTAAATATAGAAGATAGGATATTTTACTGAAAGAAGACATCATTTTATTTTAATAATAACAAGAACTGCGTTCATAGATTTTATTAAAATCGCCTGCTACAACTGGGAATCAAACTCGTGAAATTTTGAAAAAATAAACACAGCATATTTTACGATAACCATCGAACGGGTTAATCACAAGGATTATTTTTTGCTAAATGACATAGCATTTTAAATGAAAGGAATACCTTATTACGTGATAGAAATAATAAAGTGATACACAAACTGAAGCACGTATGCATTTCTTTTTGAACTCACAGTTACAATGCGATTGGCTGAAATTTATAAAAATGTTAATTAATTTGTTGTTAATTTATATGTTTAATTTTTATTTATATATTTTTTTATTTTTGTTGTTTTTTAAAATGTTGTTAATTTGTTTTACTTCAAAAATAGAACACATATATTTTCAAGTGTCTGCAATTTTATTTGAAATTATATTGTTAATTTACTTACCATGGCGTATCAAAATAAAATGGGTTTAAAGAAAGGTTACTTTATGAACCACAAAGACATAATATTAGCTTTGCGGTAGTACCTCGAAAGATACCCTGATAGAACCGTACCTTCTCGATATGTGTTTAAAAGGTTAGTGGATACTTTAAGAAATTTAGGACATTTAGATATGTGCTTACAGAAACATTTAAACTTTTTGAGGCGTATCCGATTTTAAATTAGTTTGTTAAATAATTTTAAATAAAATGTTAATTAAATTACTTTTATTTTATTTAAGATGCTATGTTATTAAGCAAATAATAATACTTATGATTTACCCTTTCGATGGTTATCTTAAAATATGTCGTGTTTTTTTTTCGAAATTTTACGAGTTTTATTCTCAGTTGTAGCAGGCGATTTTTAAAAAATCTGTAAATGTAGTTCTAATTAATATTAAAAATAAAACGATGTCTTCTTTTAGTGAAATATCCTATCTTCAATATTTAAAATACTTTCCCTCCGTGTGAGGTAGCCGTGGGACGCCCTGTATAAGTGTGAACAAAAAATTAAGACATTGGATATTAGTATCCGTAGTATTTATACCTTGGTGTAAACGAGGGGTTACAAGTATTCAATTTATACTAACAGAGTATTTTATAGAGCAGGCGATATTATTACCAAGCCTATTATGTCCCCTTTGCTACTGCACAGGCCATCCCTATGGATGGAATAGGGAGATTGGACCATGTCCCACCACGCGGGCCCAATGCCTATTATCATGGCCTCAACTGTATGTATGTACTAAACTACAGATAAAATTTCTTTCCTATGATATTTACATCTTAGCGGGGATGAAGTTCATTCGTGTTAAATGTATTGGAACTTGGTTAACAGTAAGTACTTCACTAAAAGGTTACCACTCTAAGTATTTATGGACTTTTATTGTTCTCTTTGTGTGTGTTGACCCTCAGATGTTAAAATGACTCTCAGCTATTAAAACTAGAACTTGTCTGGATTGCCACTCACCTACGCTTAACATACGCTTACGTTCCAGGAGTATTACACGCGCTTTGCTTAGCATACAAAAAAATTCTTTACGCCTCTTTTATAAAAAAATTGCATGCGTTTGATAATCACTCTCATTAAACTTAATGTCTGAAAAATTAAAAAAAAATGGAAAATTCTAAAGTGCACGCATCACATTCACTAAACAGAAACCCAGTAAATAAATTCCATTGAATTTCATTAATATCTTTAAAACGGTTATCAGTTCAGTAATTGTATTTATACTGTATGGCACAGCATTTAAAATTTACGTAAACATTTATTATTTCTCAGATAAAGATTTAATGGTGGTGTGGATTCTGGCATGGTTCTCTAGACCTAAACTTTGGTTTTGCAGCGGTGTATCCTTGTCTTTCTCTATACAGAGTTGAAGAGGGGCACTAATGTTGGATTTGGTTTTGAGTTTGGAGAGTAGTGGCAGAGTCGACACAAGTGTTTAGGTTATCACATGCATGTGTCCTATAGTTGTGTTTATAGTTTTTTTTATAATAATGTACATTGTTACTTGTTTTTTTTCCTATTTTGCAATCTAGTATCCATATGTGGTTATGCTCTCTTAAAAATATCTTCGGCAGTGTTGTATGAGGCGGGTCGTTACGTTTCCTAAAAAAACATTGAGCGAAGCGATTCCACACTGAAACATCTAAAGTTATTTCATTCATCATTACATCTAATTAATGAGTAAATTATATCATAGTTTAAATATGTACCTACAACATCATACAGATATTGGTCTGATCGCTAATTGAAACTGAAACACTTTTGATGATCACAGTAAACTTAAAAAAACACAGAAATGATTATTGCATTTCATGTCATGTGTAAATTCTACCAACCATGATCGTATACTGTGATCGTATTCCTGAAAAATAACGTACGGCATCAGAGGATTGAGCTCGAGAGAAGCATTTTGCATGTTTCAGAAGACTCAGCTATTTAGCTGAGATGAATTAGTGTAATTTTACACTAATTATTCAACGTCACTTGTATATTGCTTTCCCTCCATAACATTCCATATTGATATTGGCAGCGCTACGCAAAGTATAGTTAAGGCAGCGTGCGAATGAAATGTGTGCTAGTACCGCAAGCGTGTATAAGGAACACCGAACGACCGCAACAAAAAGGATATTCTTTTGTGTTCATTATTGTCAGAACAAGGTTTGTATAAAATATTTTTCTTTATTTGAAACAGAAAAATTCAACTAGTTCCAGATTTTATTCAAAATTCGAACCAGCATATTCCGCTATCCGTGCAGCAGCGGGGTTGGAATCCCGTTTGAAACCTGTATGTACCTACTGAATTTACTCCAACAAAATTTTCTTAAAATTTTAACTATAGCAGTAAATGCTTAAAATAAAAATAGAATAATGGCGGTATGAAGTTCGCCAGGTCAGCTAATTTCACATATAAGCTACTGAAGTTTTACATTAGCAACCCGCCCCGCTAATCGCTGCTACTGCGGCCGCAAGCACCCTTAGTTTAACGCCCTGAAAGTTCACGTTCTACTGGGCAATGTGTTCATTATTAGCAAATGAATGGCTGATTAATTTCTTCTGTACTGTCGACGGCAAGTTGCTAGATAATGATAAACATCAACGGAACCTTTGATACTCAGCGTTAAAAGCTATTTCCGCGGGGAAATTTCTATTTTCATGGCTCAATTCTGCGTGCAACATAATATATTGTGACACAGTTTTTCTCATATGAAATTTAATAAACAGAATGTTTATTTTATTGACCACCATTTTTTTCAATTTATTTAGTTTTGTGAATAAATCAATCAATAAAAAGCAATGCATCAGTTTTGTCAGTGAACTGAAAATATGAAAGCCGTAAGCAGAATGCTTAGCGAAATATTAAATTTCATTATTAGTTTTGAATTGTCTGTAATGATCGCTTTGTGTCTCTCAATCTAAGTCTGTCCTGATAATCTAAACTCCCTGAAAAACTATTCCCAAAGCCCTAAACGTCAATCAAGACGTCAATCAAGACATTGATATAGCCAATAAATTATATATTTTTTAAGAAGCCTATTCGTTGAATATTTTTCAATTAGACTTTGCACGTGACTTTATCCGTATGAACATAGGACTCATAAATAGTAAGAGACTAACATTTTATCTATAAAATAAATTCCAGAAAATTTGCCGTGACCTAATTACTTTGTTAGTACGGTTTTCGAGAATTTCCGAATGAATCTCCCAATTGGGAACCTCCGCCTTTTTATAGTCGATTAATAATATCGACTATAAAAAGGCGGAGGTTCTCAATTAGTCAGTATATTTTTTGTTTGTATTTTTACTAGCGCCCACCCGCGACATCGTCCGCGTTAACTTTACTCTTTTGAGAATCCCTCCGGGACCTATCATTTTTTCGGCATAAAAAGTTTCGACATAGTCGAAAAAAACAGTGTTTTCAACTTGAAGAAATTTAAATTTAATCTTCAGATAAAATAAACTTGGGAATCCTCTTGTCTATTTCAGAATGTTGGATAAGATTATCCATCTTCATTACTGTCTTAGATTTTATCAAATCTCCTGTTTAATACCTGACTGAACGACGTCGGAGCCTTGTCTCGTACAATCAGCAGCATATCAGTTTTATAGGTACTGAGATTATTTCTAATTGAACTTATGACACTTTAGCGCTTATAATATCAATATGATTATTAGTAGCTAAAGTATTAACTAGGTATCTTACCTTCTTCCCTTGGTCTTTATGCTCTTGCACATACTCCTGTTTCAATGGTTCCGTCTGCAAATCAGGTAAGGAGTGGCTGATGCGTATCGCTGCTTGACGAGAGAGAGAGTCGCAGTTGCTATCTTCGGAATCACGCCGAGACCTGAAAAAGTGGAGACTTGTTAATCTAATGAATGTCAACGGACTTTATTAGATATCTTTTAACACGAATTTGTTTATTTTAAAAACTTTATTAATTATTAATTCAAATCCTTTCAGCCGACTTTGTGTCATTGAGTAACAAATATACCAACTTTTTTGGGACAAAAGGGTGGCAAACAATCAAATGATGCTTGTGTACCAGCCGCTGCTAGCCGACAGCAGCCAGCAGGACAGCGGCCATAGTACCCAAGATGTACAACACTACGAAAAGCATAACAGCCAACACACATTGACGGTATAAGCAGTTGCACAGCAACATCCACTCTATATGTTAAACAATAGGCTAGTTGACCCTTTTTGGAAAAAGGTTTTAAGTGGTTAATAAATGTTCTATTAGACCGAAAAAAAATGTATTGTATTTTTTTGAGACCTAGAAAGCTACAAATCTTCAATTTTAAAATAGACTTTTCATGGACATACAAAAACGCTGTCGGCCATTTTAGTCTATAGATTATCTGTGCTATGACGTCGACGGTAGTAAACAAAAACTCGTAAGCGCGTAGAAAATAACCTATCTGAGTTTATATAATAAAAAAAACATGATTTCTAATAGATACCACGAAAAATATAGTAATTATCATTATTGTATTGTACGAGAATGTAAAAAAAAACCTTGAAGACTCCATTAAAGTTGTGGATTAAAGTGCCGAAAGAAATTAACCTACGCAATACCTGGTTAGAACTTGCTAAAAGTGATTTTGCAACTTTATCGACTCATAGTAATATTTATTTTTGCGAAGATCACTTTGATGTAAGTACTCATTGAATAATATTTTAAGACTCTTCATTTATTATCAGTTTTAATAATACAAGTTTTAAAGTTATGTATGAATGACATTTAGTTGTTTACTAAAAGAGACGTCACAATCATGGCGGATGTGGTGAACAGCGTTTTTAGTGTTTAAAAAGTATAAACTAAAAATTATTTTTTCAAATTAAATTTCTACAGCAATCTTCTGCTTTTATGAAGTGAAATCGATATATTTAGGTTCCCTAGACCAAATACTTCAAGAAATAAACATTTATTTAATACAATTCGACATGAGTCAACTAGCCTATTCAGTACATTTCACAACTGCCCATGATCCAGCGCCAGGTGGCCTCGCACTGGTAGTCGACAGCAGCCATCAGGACAGCGACCATCGTACGCAAGATGTACGACACTACGAAAAGGATAACAGCCAACGCAGTTGCACGGCAACATCTACTCTATATGTTAAATAATTCAGTACATTTCACAACTGCCCATGATCCAGCGCCAGGTGGCCTCGCACTGGTAGTCGACAGTAGCCATCAGGACAGCGGCTATCGTAAGCAAGATGTACGACACTACGAAAAGGATAACAGCCAACACACAATAGCGGTATAAGCAGTTGCACGGCAACATCCACTCTATATGTTAAAGAATTCAGTATATTTCACAACTGCCCATGATCCAGCAAACAAAAATTTTGTTACGCACTGGTAGCCGACAGCAACCAGCAGGACAGCGGCCATCGTACGCAGGATGTACGTCACTACGAACAAGATAACAGCCAAAACACAGCAGCGGTATAAGCAGTTGCACGGCAATATCCACTCGATATGTTAAAGAATTCAGTACTTTTCACACCTGCCCATGATCCAGCGCCAGGTGGCCGCGCACTGGTAGCCGACAGCAGCCAGCAGGACGGCCGCCATAGCAACCAGCAGCAGTGCCGCGGCGTAGTCTACGGAACTGCCGCGCACGCTTGACGGGCCCTCGAGCCCTTCGGGGGGCCACACACCTGCAACTAAAAATAAAGTTCAATAAAAAAAAACAACAAAATACGAGGCGGGCTCGCGCATGAAGGATTCTGTACCATATACACTCCACATTAGACAGTATATTATATCGAGCAAAAAAGGCAAAAAAAAAAACAAGTCTGTTGTAAAGGAAAATCCCCTTTAAATATTTATTGTATATTAATTACTATAATTTTTTTATAGGTTTGCTTGTAGATTAATATTTTTTTTCTTTTTCAGTTACTAAAATTTTGCCTGGGAGCTTTATTTTGGTTTCTTGATTTCCCAGGTTATAGGTTCTCTATGACTGTTTATATAGTTTCTTTTAATTTTTGCGGTGTCAATATATCTTCATTATCAGTAATATATGTCGTTTCAAATAGATATCATCACAATTTAAAAGCTCAATAAATATCAAATAATGAGCGTGCTTTTTACTTTTTGTTCCGAAAACTAATAGCATAATGTTAAAAAAATGATCTCAGTCTGCAAAATCATACTTACCAGTTGTCGGAACATATATAAAATAAAAATGTATTTTAATAAAAAAAAACAGCACGGTAAATATGAATATCCATAGAATCTTCTGCTAGCTCATTACGTTCTAGATGTCGTGCAAACAACTGAGAGGGATTTCGGTATTAGAAACTAGATGGCGTGAGGTTTCGGCAATTAGAAATAGATGGCGTTGCCGACGAATATATTATATTTTTACAAAAAAATGGTTTTTAAAAACACTTCCGAGCAGTCTAAACATCTCAAATAATCGAATGACGGTCTTTCATTTGGGCACCCATTTTGCTGCACTTTAAATATTTTTCATAATGATTCTAAACACTTTCCTGTGAACACAAACCTCTAAAGCATCCGAAACCACGGAAATATGTGATATAATTAAAAGAACACTTTCAACCCGTTTAAGTTAATGTTTTCTGTAATAAATACCTAGACATGCAACAGTTGGCTGCTCCATTTATATCATTAATTATAACGTAATGACACACATTCCCTGCCCTGCGAAATTCGCGCATTTAACAAGAGTTCGTGTTGAAAGAGTGAACTGTGTTACAAACAAACAAAGAGCGAGGTAGAGTAGGTACGTTCCTAAACACATTCGACTAATGAAATGACAAACAAAGCCCATGCTCGTGTAATCATAGTTATATGTTAAGGTCAAGGCCTTAATTGTCTTAATGTTTACTGTTATAACATAAATGTAACATATGTATTTGATTTTGTCGAGTTCACGGTGATATGAAATCAAATTTTTCTTTAAGCAAGCTTGTTATCGAAGGTAGTTTTTGTTTCATAATAACATCACTAACCATAGAGCAACAGGGACTCGAGCATCGTAAGGAGGTCCTCGTTGCTCTATGCCCTTAAAACTTTGAAAGCTTTCACAGATTGTTTGTAAGATAAATTTTTTTGCCACCTAATACCTATCTATCGAGGGAATAAGATCAAACCCATTTTAACAATTCTACACTTTGCCATTTGCGTAAACTCTTGAGACGTGTTAATTTGCACACAGCTTTTCAGTCTCACAAAGTCCCCTTGGCAACATTAAACCAATACTTAAAATTGGAACGTAACACGTAACAGAACTTCCACGGAATGGCGCCAAGAATCTCATACAGTTTTAAAGTTCTCCCAACGTTGAAAAGGAAAGGACTTTTGAAGTTCTATTACATCAACAACCAATAAACTGAAGTAAAAATTATTATGTGAAACGGTGTAATTTTGTAAAATATTCATTTCAAAGGTTTCATCCACATCAGAAGCAAAGCTTTTTTAACCCCAATTTTATGGTTATGGTTGTTTTGTTGGCAGCCTGATGGTAAGCGGCCACCATAGCCCACAGACGTTTGCGATACTAAAAATATCGCTCGAGTCGTTGCCTACCCTAACCCAATCCCCTAACCCGTGGAACCCCTTGAACCTTACCCACCGACAGAAACACAACATCACCAAAGGTAGAGTCATCACCATATGCTGGAGGTTACTTTCACAGACAAGCGCTCAATTCGAGCGGAAAATCCGCCATGCTTCACCGCTCTTTACACAAAAAACTTTAAGCATTTAACTTAAGCATTAAGCTTATTAATAATTAGTATAGCGGAGAGTTCGGGTTTGTGGTCAGCTGCCTGGCCGCGTGCTTTTACGAGTATTTCAGTAAAATTTTCCTTTTAAAACTTTAGTCAAACTTAAAAGTTAACTGACCACTCTTAAGTGGGAGCATTAGTCAACTTCGTTGAACAATGGGGTTTGGGGACCTATTATGTACCTATATATTTGAGTTACTAATATATCTTTATAAGCACTAACTTAGAGCAGAGAACCCTGTACTTGAAAACAGCCGTCGTTAAGGGGTCATTCAACCCGAGAGTTCAGTGAAAGGGCCCAACAGGTTGCACCATTACCGTTTATTTGTACGCGGTAACCGTTTAACATCCATTATGTACTTTAGTCTGAAAACTTTGGAAGGAATACATTTAATCAGATTATCTTAAAAGAGAGGCTCGATGGCGCAGGTGATTACCGCTTTCGGCCTGCGATCGTGGGATTTAAGCTACTTTCGCAATATTCGATCATTGGATAAGTGACCAAAAACTTAGGACGTTACGCCAACGATATTAAATACCTACCTACCTACATACACCACGAGTGCTCGAAATGTGTCCCAATCAAGTAGTGCTTGAACTCCACTCACTTCACTTCTTGGTTCAGTCACGCGCGGACCGTTGAAAAGTCAAAATGCGAAATAAATACTAATAGTAAGTAAAGTGTCGTTTTTTCGGCAGGTATCTAATCAATGTTTGTTATATATAAAATATGATATAAATGATTTAATATAAAATATTAGTGATATTCAAATCCGTGGTCGGTTATACGTCGCCGTATAGCCGTCTCTTTTCCTCGCGCATTCAGAATTGCGCGTTACATCAAAAACATAAAGTTTATATTGCTCCGCATATATCAATAAGTCGTAAAATTTTACGAGCTTGCATTTCGAACTGTCATAAGTCTTTGACGCATGCGTTTAAATTAAGACCTTATACAGAATGAATTAAAGGTGACTTTCAATGTTTAAATAATGCCTCATATTGTTTTTGACCACGCGATCATCTTACGGAGCTCCGTGGATCGTCCAATGTACCTATTGGATACGTTTCGGCCACAATTTTGTTCGTGTTGTTATATCTAGGCATAGATGAATGATTGGTCTCGCTTCACTCGACTAGATACCACCGGCGTACTTGTCTAAAGCGGCAACAAATACTATGCCGAAATCGGCCTACCCGAGGTTTCACCGGGCCAGTCAACCTGACAGTTGTGTATGGGGTGTACGTAGTGAATGTTTTATTAAAATTTGGTGTTAATCGAAAGTAAAATGCCAGTTTATGTAGTGAAATAATACAACAATAAATAACAAGGACGCTGGGATCACATAACATCAGTAAGTATAGTAAAATTTCGAAATTTCAACATAAAATAACATGAACCCTAAACGTCATTCAGGTGTTGCCGCGTATACAAGAATCAAGTCCCTATGGTTGAGATTTTTATTTATAATGTGAATTTATTGTTAGTTTATTTTATAATTGAACCTATGTTATTTAAACTTACTATTAAACTTGCAATTAAACTTAATCTAGTTTTATATTATCCAACGAGAACGAACGTGTGATCATTGCTGCCTGTCAAATAACGTAAGTATTTCGGATACCATATTGGCTATGAAGGTCTTCCATCTACTAGGGTGGCTACTGAGCTATGCTAGCACCACCTGAGAATCAGTCCAAGCATGGACATGATTACGCGAAACCTCTAGAACTTGAGACACTTCAGATAACAACTTCGCCAATAAGACCGCCCCACACCGCTCTAAGCGTGGTATCGATACTTGCTTGATAGGTGAAACCTTCGTTTTTGAAGTAACAAGATGCACATGTACCTGATCATTGCAGTCTACAACCCGAATGTACACGACAGCAGCGTATGCATCAGTCGATGCGTCGCAAAACCCGTGGAGTTCTACACAGTTATCTTCACGGCTAGTATGTATCCATCGAGGAAGAGTGAATTTTGTGAGTAAGGTAAGTTTATCTCTATATGTTATCCATTCTTGCAACAAATTATTAGGTAATTCTTGATCCCATCCTATGCCAGACATCCATAATTTTTGGATAAAGATCTTTGCCTGAATTATAGATGGCGCAATCCACCCCAGCGGATCGAACAACCGTGAGATATTAGAAATGACTTTTCTTTTTGTAATGGGTGTGTTTAGTTCTGGCAACTGTACTGTATACAGGAACTCATCTGTAGTACTATTCCACGTCAAACCTAAAACTCTTTACTTCATTTTCTTCCTTTGCTGTTCCTATTTCTAACCTATTACTATTTTTACTTACTAAACCTTGTGCTTCTTGTAAAAAATCTTTACTACTCGAACCCCATTTTTGTAATTTAAAACCGCCTTGTTCCATGAATTCATTAATTTGTTTATATATTTTCAGTCCCTCTTCTTTCGTCTGGCAGCCCGTCATCAAATCGTCGATGTAATAGTCTTTTAACACTATTTCAGCAGCTTCCGGATACGCTTCACCCTCATCGTAAGCCAGTTGATGTAGAATCCTGACTGCAAGATAAGGAGCACTAGCTGTACCAAAGGTAAGTCGCTGTAGTCTGTAGTGCTGTATGTGACGTCCATCACACCACAATATTCGTTGAAAATCTGCATCTTCTTTTGTCACCTTGACTTGGCGATACATTTTAACTAAGTCTGCATTAAGAGCAATAGGATGACGTCGCCAGCGCATGATAATATGCCTCAGATCCAGCTGTAAACTGGGACCTACCAACAAATCATTATTAAGGGATACGCCGTTGAGACCAGGAGAGGAAGCATTGAATACAACTGGAACTTGAGATGTAGTTCTATCTTTTCGCACAACAGCATGATGAGGTAAGTATACTGCTCCATGTAATAGTTTTTCTTTTTCAG